TTGAGGAGCGGCAGCTGTGAGGAGCCTGTCYGCCTCTCCCCCTCTTTAACCTTAATCCATGAACAGTCCAGCGCTTTCCTTCTCACCACAGCTCCATCCTCGCGGTCCAAAGGCAGCGATGGGTCGGCCATAGGACAGAYTCAAGCAGAGCTGGCAGGGTATGGGGTGGGAGAACCAGAGCCCCTCCTCAGGGACGGCARCTTGCCTCCAGCCCCTGGAAGAAAAGAACAATAACAATCAAAACCTCAACAAACCCGCTGAAACAGAGCAGGGCTGCGCAAGGGCCACCCCGCGCCTGCCCAAAGGACTCAGCAGTCCCGGTGGTGATGGGCTGTGTTGGCCCCTCGGGCTGGGAGCAGGATTTTCCAGCTCCGAGCCAAGTTCTGCTGCCTTGACTGAGTCAGGGACCGCCCTTGGTCCCCCCGTGGGAAGCCCAGCTCGTTTAGCCCCGTTTTGCCCTGTCTGTTCCATGGCAGGGCCGGGATTTTCTGAGAGCAGCTGCGATCTCAAATGGGAGATCTCYCGTTTCTCCAGCTCTGCTGAGGGCAGACAGGCAGAGAGACTCCCCCTCTCCGGAGCTGGGGATGCCCCTGTTCTCACTGCACCAYTCTTGGCCCCACACCAGCAGCCAGTGGGGTTTGGGCTCTGTCGAGGGAGGGGAGTGCTGGGGAGAGCAGCAGAAGAGCGGTCTCCCAGCCCTTATTATATTTTAAAATGTAATAACAGCATGATGTCTATTTTCGTAGACAGATCATTTCTGGAAGAGGCCCATAAATCTCAAACAGAGGGGAAATAATTTGGCCAAGGTCACGTTAAGGCAAAATATTAAAATAGAAAGGGAAAAAAGCAGTTTAGAGCTGGACTGAGGCACCATCTCTGTTCTTAAAYCTCCCTCCCCAGCCTGGGAACCCCGTCCCCCCTGCCCTTCAGCTTCCCAGCATTACACCATGGGGCTGAAAGGGCCAGGACACACACGAGGGGCTGGATGGGTGGAGAGACCGAGAGAGAAGAAGAGAACGGGGACCCCAGGAAGGGTCCTGGAAGGATCCTGCTGAGCCCCTCTGCCCGGGGGCTGCAGCGCCTGCTCACTGCTGTGCTCAGGGAGGCGTCAGACATGCGGGGTATGGGACAAGGGACAGGCTGGGCTGTCCCCGGGGCTGCAGGATCACCGCCATTAGGGAAGCATGGCCGCAGGGGTCGGCAAACGCCACTCCAGCACTGCCACTGCCACCTCTCCTGTCCTTGCCGGCTGTCCCTTTATCCCATCCATGGCACCAGGACTACAGCCGTGCCATCCATCACCATGGCTGCTCACTCTGTGCGTCCTGGAAGAGTCAGAGTGGGCAGGGGAGTGGCACAGGCTGGCAGGGCACCACCTGCTCGCCCCGGTGTCCACAGCCGCTGCTCAGACCAGCGGCAGGGATGGGTTGGCAGCSGGGTGATCCCTCCATGACCGAGAGGCACCTGCGGCCACGGGAGGCCTGGCAGCGCATCTCTGCCTCGGTGGAAATACCACAGCAGGAACGAGCCCAGGAAAAACCCCTCAGCCGCGGGTCAGACCTGYCCCTGAGCGGGAGGCAGGGCCGGTGAGGCAGAGCCAGCCTCCCCGCAGGTCCGGGGATCGGCAGCCAAGCCCTTCCCGAGAGCGCGTCCCTGGCAGCGCCGCAGCTCCGCGCGGACCCTGGCAAGCGGCGGAAAACAAAACTGCTGCTCGTAGCCTCTGGCTGCTTCCCCGGGCTCGGCTGCCAGCTYCCCCGCATGCCAGCGCGGCTCGAGCGGGGCCGGGGCTCCTGAGACACGGGGATGGCTCCAGCGGTGCCACCCCAGAGCCTCGGGGACATCCCCGGCCAGCGCCGAGCGCAGGTGACCCGGGACAGGAACCGGAGGGGACAGGCTGTCGCCTTTTTCTGCTGAGAAAGAGGAGACATTTAAAAACCCCCCCCGAGAGTGCTTTGCTCTTCGTCTTTCCTCCTTCTGCGCCGATTTAATTCCTTCTATAGCCCCTTTCTTCCCTTRGAGAGATCAAAGAAATCCGTGGAACCGGGCACATTTCAGCGGAAACGTCGATTAAAGGGAGTGGGGGAGGCAGCYCTGGTGGGATCAGAGGAGGAGGAGCAGGAGAAGGAGGAGAAGCGAAGCTGCAGGGAGCATCTGGCTCCTCGCAGTGTCCCGGCAGGACGGGCCGGGCCGGGCGGAGCGGGAGACACCGGAGTTTGGGCGGCGGCGCTGGCGGGGCTGGGGGCTCCTCCGGCCGGGGCTCCGCTCGGCCGCTCCGCCGGGCTCCTGCTGCCCCCTGCCGCCCCGGTGGGACGGGAGAGTGCCGCTGCCGGCCGGTGCCCCCGGGGTCTCTCGGGGAGCCCAGCCCGGACATTGCACTGTCCACCGCGCCGGGGCTCCCCGATCCCCGCAGGASAGCGGATCCCGGTCCGGCACCCACMTCCTCCCCGCGGGTGGGTGCGCTGGGGAAGGGTCTGCCACCACCCCAGCCGAGGGTGCGATGGCTTCGGTGTCCCCCAGAACATCCCCGAGCCGGGGCCACCTCCCCGAGCCGGGGCCACCTCAGGCCCCGGAGCCGCGGGCGCATCTGGCCGCAGCATCTCCCGTGGCCGCCGGCCAGGGAAGGGGATGTTTAGGGGATGAGTAACATCCTTCCTGGCAGGGCCGCTGCCCGCTCCTGGAAGCTGCTGCAGGCACAGAGCTCAGCCCCTTCGCCCGCCTCTTGCCCCGCTCAGCCRCGGAAAGGAGCCAAGAGCGGGGAGAAGCGTGGGGATGGGGCCAGGGCGAGCGAAGCCCGTGGAAGCGGCACCAGCCCCAGGTGCCAGGGAGAGAAAGGAGGGAGGATGCTGCGTGGCAYGGTGGGAAGCAGCCAGGAGGCACAGGTTGGGGGAGGCAGCTCCGGGCCCCCTCTAGAGCAGGGCTGGAAGCCAGATCCTGGCTGTGCGCTGCCAGAAGCAGCTTATTTTGGAAAGGAGGCGTGTTGGCAGAGGGCTTGGTGCGTGGAGCTGCTGACGCCGGGGAACAGGACGGCTCTCATCAGGTCCCAGCCGTGCCTCGCGGGCCAACGCTGCTTGGCTTCAGCCCGCAGCTCAATCTACCCCGGCACGGCCAGGACTGGATCCCCGACTCCTGAGTCACTCCACTTGAAAAGGTGGACGCTGCTGTCACGAGTCGCCATCGCCACGCTCCCCTGAGCCACAGCTAGCCCTGAGCGTCACAGGGGCTTCCTGGGACTCACCAAACTCCTGGGACTCGCCAAACAGGATGGACAGAGCTCTCTCGGACMGGCTCTGACCCATGGGGACAGGTASAAGTGCGAACCTTAAACAAAAAGGCACACAGGCTTCAGCCCACCCCTGCACCCTGCTTCCCCTCTCCTCAGCTCCCAGGAACCCAGCCCAGCCTCTCCAGGGGCTCAGAGCTCAAGGCAATGGGGTYCAGCCCAAAGCAGCACTATCAGGGTGCTGAGAAAGCCTAGGATGGATCCCAAATTTTCACATTGAAAATTTGAACTTGCTTTTCCTTCCCCAGGAGCCCTCCTGGCACCCACGGGGGCCGAGGAGCCAGCACAGGCAGCCCTTTTCCAGCACCCCTATCCTGCCAGAGACAGCCCAGGGAGCACACCTGGAGCAGGCTGCTGTGCCTGGACACGGCTGGGGAGCTCCTGCAGGATCCCCGTGGCTTGGCACGGCACGAATTTGGTCAGGTCTCGGCCCATCCCGCAGCAGGGCACAGCTGCGAGCCCGGGGATGGAGCAGCCGAGCTCCCGACACGCAGCAGCCGGCCCTGCCCTTCGGAGCCGCACACTGCAGCATTGTGGCCCGGCTGGTTTTTCCAGAGATGCATCCAAGGGGCGAAATGAGATCTCAAGGGAAGGGAGCAGGCACGTTCCTGGCTGTGTGGAGGAGCTGTCGAGGCAGTGCCAGCAAATGGGGCAGTTGCTGGGCACCGCAGCAGGCTAAAAAACCAAGCAGGCAGCTCCCAAAAACCTGGGCTGTGCCTCGCTGCCCGACTCCGGGGAGCTGCTGAGCCTTTGCARGGCTTTGTTTGCAGAGCTGCCCTGCCCTGGCACTTCCTCCGGCTTTGTTTAACACCATCAGATATGAAACAACCAGCCTGGAGGGCTGGGATGGGGGAAGGACCCTGCTGGGGGAGCGGGGAARTTCTTGTGGGAAGAAGGCTCTGGGAGGAAAACAGAAAAACAGCGTCAGGGAAAGGGAGTTCCCACCACACAGGGAGGTTGTTTTTGATCAGGGCTTGTCTAGACTGGAGTCACCCACACTGCACAAGCACTCCAACACCGTGCAGCCAGCCCGGGGCTTCCTGCTGCTCCCAGGAGGAGCTGCAGCSACTGAGAGTGGGCAAAAACTGACCCCGGGACTGGCCATCCCACCCCCAAAACGACTTGGGGGGCACACTGAGGCTTCCAGGGCGCTGCCTCCCAGTGCCCCCCATTTCTTCCCAGCAGTCAGAAAGCCCTGTGCCCCCAGAGTGCCCAGCCTGGCCCTGTCACCTGTCCCCACACAGCCCTTGGGGGGATGTGGGGCAGCGATTTTAGGACTCTCAGCTCCGGCTGAGAGCAGCCAAGGGAGCTGCAAGCACASAGCGTCACTTTTTCCGAGCGCCTCTCCCCGCCTTCCCTCCTCCCTCGCAGAGCAGGGCCACGGTGCCGGCACAGGAGGCTCCTGGATCAGGGCAAGGGCAGTGCCAGGATGGGCTTGGAGCCCCCACAGTGGCCACATCTCCTCTTGCTGACCAGCCAAAGCACAGTCCTGTGAATGTGAACCTCATGGACATCACAAGCACCTGGCTCGAGGATGCTGCTGCTCCCAGCAGCCTTGGACAAGCCCAATTTTCCCAGCAAAACTTGGGAGAACGGTGTAGCAGCTCTGACAGCCCCCACCTATAGCTAACGACACCTTTTCCTGGGAAAAAAGAAACCCCAAACACTTAATCCCATCCACTCCAAGGCCAGGAGCATCCACGAAATAAGAGAACAGGCCTGACACAGACATTCTTTATGGATGATCTAATTTAAAAACAACATCGTAACGAAAATGCACGTCTTTTAAAAAGAGACCCACAGCACTCCAGTGCTGGAGGCAGCCACGTGTCAGTGATGGGACTGCTCTGTACCCACTGCCCCCACCTTCCCAGGGTGTTTSGGGTCCCGTGTCCAGCTCCACATCCCCATTTATTTTCCTTTACCACAGAAAACRTCTCCCTAGCCCTCCCCCCACCTACCCTAAAGCATCAGCTGAAGCTGCAGGAGAGATAAAGGCTGGAGCATCCCCTTGCCCGAGCTGGGGGTGAAGCAGGAGGGGGACAAACAGCTCTGGGCACCGCTGGAAAAGAGCCTGCCCAGGCACCCTTTGCTCACAGCAGCTGCTGGAGGGCAGGACTGCTCTTAAACATCATCAGTGGAGCAGAGGAGAGCTCTGGAGTGCTTTAATCCTCTCCAAAAAAGTATAGCTAGCCCGGCAGCCGTCCTCCTCCTCCCTCTGCGCCCGCGAGGATTTGTACTTGTAAGGCTGGATAATGTGACAGGGACAACACACGCTCGGCCCGGGCAATCCCCGACTTCCCCAGGAGTTTGCTCTTGGACCAGCCCCATAAATCCACCCCGAYGTGCCACCCTCCCCTCCCTCCACAYGGAGGGCTGGGACAGCAGCTTTTGGGGCGTGCCTCAGACGCACAGGGGAAAGGACATCCCCTTCCCACGGGTACCGGCAAGCAGGGCAGCACCACGGGCGCTGTGGGAGTGGGAACAGGCAGGGCTGTCCCACTGGTGACAGCCAGAGGCACCAGAGCCGTGGAGCYGATGGTTGATACAGAGCCAGCGTCCCTGTCCCCGCAGCCAGGGCGTGGCGAGGGGCGGCTGTGCAGTCCGGGGTGGGGTCACGGGGTGCCCCGGTAGCTGTAGTGATTGTGGTCGGGGTCACTCAGGGTCAGGGGCAGGCTGGGCTTGCGCTCCGGGTCCTTCTCCTCGCACTGCCGAGGGGGACGGTGCTTGAAGAAGTCAGAGACGTAGTGGACCTGGAAAAGAACAGCGGGGAGAGGGTTTGGGGATGGCTCCGTTTGGGGATCCCTCTGGGGATCACTCTGTTTGGGGATCCCCCTGTTTGGGGATCACTCTGTTTGGGGATGGCTCTGTTTGGGGATCCCTCTGGGGATCACTCTGTTTGGGGATCACTCTGGAGACAGCTCTGTTTGGGGATCTCTCTGGGGATTGCTCTGTTTAGGGAGGGCTCTGTTTGGGGATCCCTCTCTTTGGGGATTGCTCTCTTTGGGGATTGCTCTGTTTGGGGATCTCTCTCTTTGGGCATCCCCCTGTTTGGGGATGGCTCYGTTTGGGGATGGCTCCRTTTGGGGATCCCTCTGCAGACGGCTCTGTTTGGGCATCCTCCTGTTTGGGGATTGTTCTCTTTGGGGATCCCTCTGGGGATTGCTTTGTTTGGGGATCATTCTATTTGGGCATCCCCCTGTTTGGGGATCTCTCTGTTTGGGGATCTCTCTGGGGATTGCTTTGTTTGGGGATCCCTCTGTTTGGGGATTGTTCCATTTGGGATCACTCTGTTTGGGGATGGCTTTGTTTGGTGATCACTCTATTTGGGCATCCCTCTGTTCGGGGATTGCTCTGTTTGGGGATCCCTCTGGGGATTGCTCTGTTTGGGGCGGCTCTGTTTGGGGATTTCTCTGTTTGAGGATCCCTCTGCCAGGCCACGAAGGAGCCCAGCCCAGCCCAGCCCAGCCCAGCCCAGCCCAGCCCAGCCCAGCCCAGCCCAGCCTGCACGGGGGACACTCACAATGAGGACGGCAATGAGAGCCCCCTGCAGCAGCCCCACCAGCACGTCGCTCCAGTGGTGTTTGTAGTCAGACACCCTGGTGTAGCCCACGTAGATGGCGAAGGCGATGAGGAAGAACTGGATGGTGGGACGCAGCAAGCGGGCCCACTTGCCCACCAGCCGGGCCTGCACGTAGAGCTGGGCAGAAGAGAAGGGAGGAATCACCCAGGAATCACCAAGCAGCCCAGTGATGACCACAGGGCATGGGACCCTTGGGGGCTTCCCGTGGCACGGCACTCACCGCCAGGAACATCATGCAGTACATCCCAAAGGAAGAGTGTCCCGAGTAGAAGGACAGCCTGTGGGGCAAACGGGATGGGTCAGGCCATGAATAAACCCCCACAAGACCCCCACCCACTCCACAGGCTCTGCCCTGCAACGGGAGCGCCTCCATACCCATCTGGGGAGGTGGAAGAGRCACATCCACGGCTCACCTGGACTCGGTGATGCTCCTGCTCTCTCCCTGGCAGACATTCTCCAGCTGCACRTAGATGGAGCAGTTCACCTTGGACCAGTCTGGGTTGCAGACCGCCAGGAAGTTGGGCCGGAGACGGCCGATCATGTACTTGGCCAGGTCKGTCAGGGACTGGCTGATGGCCCCCCCGAAGAGAAAGGTGCCCACCACCTTGTAGAGGGCRGCCAGGTAGTTGTTGTACTCTGATTTGGAGTAGAGGCGCTCGGTGTAGACCAGGTACGCCTCTCCCGATGAGATCTGCAGAGATCAGGGGGCAAAAGTAAGTATTAGTAAGTGTYAGGGCATTAGTAAGGCAAAAGATATTAGTAAAAAGTTCTTTATGCAAGGAGTGATGAAGTACTCGAATGGTCTACCCAGGGAGGTGGTGGAGTCACCACCATGTGTTCAAAAAAAGATTGGATGTGGCACTTGCTGCYRTGSTTTAGTTGAGGTTTTGGGGCAYGGGTTGGACYGGAAGATCTTGATCTCTTCCAACCCTAATGATTCTGTGATTCTSTCAAAGGGGAGGGTCAGGGGCTGCTGAGCAGCTCCCAGGGGTGCAGGAAGCTCTGGCTCTGGGGCGGARGAGCCCCTGGCACCCTCCTGCCACAGGAACTCCCTGTCCCTCTCCCCATCCCTGCAGGGAACCAGCCCTGYGGGATGCAGCTCTCACACTCCAGCAGGAATTCCTGACCCCGAGCAGAGCAGAGCTCAATCTGAGGGTTGTGCTGCCCTTCCAGCGCTCTGGGGGTGGCTGTGCTGGGCTCCAGCTCCCAGAGAGAACACATCAGCATGTCCCTGTCCTGGGGGAAAGGGGGTGGCAGCTCCTTACAATGATCACGGTGCAGCTGATGGTGACCCCGGCCATGAGGCCGTGYGTGATGGTGTCTGCCTTGTAGGGGTAGCGGATGGAGTCATCGTTGCAGTAGAAGCCTCGCTTGTACGGGGAGTTCACCAGYGTCAGGATGATGAAGGGCAGAGATGCTGCAAGGCAGAGAGAGGTAAGGAGTGGGGGCAGAACCAGAACCCAACACTGCCCATCTCTCATCCCAAAGTCTCTGCTCCACGGTGCCAGGCTGGGATCCCCTATGGGGCTGAAGTCCTGAGCCACCTGTACCCATGGCAGGAGGACCTGAACCCACCAGCGTGCTGCCCTGACAGCGATAGGGCCCTATCAGAGCTCACAGCTGCCTGCAGCACCCAGATACCACGAGATGGCCACGACTGGGCACCCACAGAGCTCCCAGGGCTGCCCCGTTCCTCCTCAGGCACAACAGCGACAGCGCCCACTCTTGTGCCCTCTCCTCACACTGCCCAGCCTTTCGGCCAAGGAAGACAGAGCTGATAAAATTAACGAGCACAGGCATCTTGTAAACTTGTTTTACAGCAGGGAAGGGCCCCTAGACGGTCCCAGCAGAACCCTCCCTGCAGCTCCAGGAGAGCCGGTGCTGGGAGATGCTGGCGCACGATCCAGCCCAGGCACAGCGGGACTCTTGGCTTGCTCCCCTCACCCTCCCACAGCCCTTGTTCCTGCCAGCCTCTCCTCTCCCCCGGCTCCTCGGGGCTCTGGGGAGATGCAGCACTGGCTGGGTCAGTCTGGGCAAGGAGGCTTTTCCAGCCAGCAGCAGCTCAGAGCTCACCCGGACGGAACCCGGAGATCCAGAGGGGTTTTGGGGGTCTCTGCGCCTCACAGCAGCCCCGCTGGAAGGGGGCCCTCTGCCCCTGCTCCATCCCAGCGCAGGAACAGCCAAGGACGGGTCCCAGGACACTCCCCAGGGAAGCGGCCCCCCCTCCCCGGAGGCCACCTTAGGCCGGGCTCCTCTCCCAGTTCCGCCTTTCCCGGCGGTTTCCGCCTCCCCTTGTTCCTCCGTCTCCCGGGAACCCGCACCTTTGTCCCCGCCCGTCCCCACCCCGGGGGTCCCGCCGCTTTGCCATGAAGCACCGGGGGCTGCCCCGCCACCCCCGCCGCGCTGCCGGGGGCAGGGAACCGGCCCCAGTCCCTCCGCCTCCTCCCCGCACACCTCAGACGTCCATTTTCAGCTCAAAATTAGACACCAATTTTCTTTCTGGATAATTTCATCCTCCAAAAAAAGCTCCCCTAAAAATATAAAGCACCGGCCCACAGGAGGGAAACGCGCTCCGAGCCGCACCGGGACCCGGCCTCCCCCCGCCCCGCAGCCGGGGAAGCTCCAGCCGCGATCCCGATCGGGGCCTTTATTTTYAGTCCGTCTTAATTCGTTACTTCCTTGCGGCAGTTTTAGAAACATTTACCCGCACCGGGGGGGAGGCGAGGGGGTCCTAGAAGGGGTGCTCCGAACCCACCCGCCCGGAGCTGCGGAACGCCGGGCTCGGTGGCGGGCAGGCGGCCAGGGCGGCGGCGGAGGAAGCGTTCCCGGTGCCGCCCGAACGGAGGGACCCCTCCGCAGAGYCCCGGAGCGGGACAGCCCGGACACCCTGCCCCTCCGAGGGACCGTTCTCGGAAAAGGGAACGGCCACGGGAATCGGGATCCCCGACGGAGCCCGGTAGAGCTGCAGCAGGAGTCGGTTCCCGTCCGCCCCCGCTGCTCTCGGCGGAGGCCCGGAGCCCCGGACAGTGGCCGGGCAGGTGCCTCCCACGCTGTCCCCTTGCCCGGCGGCACCGGCCCGGCTCAGAGCGCGGCGGGATCCCGGACCCACGGAACCTCCCGCGGACCTGGCCCCAGCCCAGGGCGCGGCCCCACCGAGGGCACCGGCGGGACGCGGAGACGCTCCGGAGCCGCCCGCGGCGGGGGCACCGGAACCGAGCCCTCACCGACCGCCAGGCAGAGCACGTCGAGCGCCACGAAGACCTTCCTGCGCTCCATCCCGCAGCCGGTGCGGCCCCGCGGCCCGGCCCCGCGGCTCACATGGCCCGGAACGGCGCGGGCCCGGCCGGGAGGTAAAGTCCGGGCGGGCGGGGCGGGGCGGAGCGGCAAACGGTGCCCCCGCCCAGGGCAGGGCAGGGCCGGGGAGGGGCGGGAGCGGCGGGGATGGGGCAGGTGTGGGGTGCGGCGGGGCAGGGACCCCTCTGAACCCAGACCCCACTCGCCCCCCGCCGCTTCCTCCGGCCCCGCTCCGGCGTTCTCGGCTCCGGCCCTCCCGAGCCCCCCGGTGCCCACCCCGCCTGGCCGCTGTCCCCGCCTCGGCTCGGCTACCTCCTGTCGCTGGAAGGGGAAGGGGGAAAAGGAAGGCAGCGAGGCCACTTTGGGAGCTGTCTGTATCCCACCCGCCTCGGGCCTGTGTCCCGGGAAAAAAWAAAAAAAAAAAAAAAACAAGGAGGAGAAAAGGAAAATTCAGTCCCAGAAACGTGCTGGCTGCACTGGCGGGGGCTTGTGCAGAGCASACGTGAGGCTGGCTCGGTGGCGAGATGCGTTGTTGAGGGGAAGGAGGGACACCCAGGAGCCTGTGGACGCAGCAGAGAGGACGGTKTGAGCACACAGGGTGAGACAGGAGCTGATTTATCCGCTGAGACACTGGGTTGTATTTCCCAGTTCTGGGAATAGAACARGCTCCCGGTACTTCCCGTTGGGTTTTGGGGACATGCTGAACCGGTGGAACCCAGAATGGGGACAGGAGCAAAGGTTGGAGCGCAGCAATTCCCCGGCGGGAGCAGGGGCAGTCTCATCCCGGCTGTTTGCGCCATGCCGGATGTCTGGGGAAGGAACAAATAACAGAGAAACCACCCATGGCTGATAACTGCGGGTGATTGAAGTGCAGCCTGAGTGGCCTGCGGAGAATGTCAAGGCTGTTTGTGGGAAGCCGAGAGAGCTGGAAATGCTCTCGGGCTGCCTTGGAATTTCAGGAGAAGAACAGAACYGCGGGCCAGCTTTTCTCGGGTCCAGTCGGTCCCGATGTGCCCCAGTGCAGCTTCCTCCTGCCCGGCAATGCCATGGGGCCGTGGCACACCGCTGGGGAAGGATTTGCCGCCTGCAGACTCCAACCAAACAGCTGAGAGCCTCRAGGCAGGAGAGCTGGAGGGAATGCTGCCGCAGGGCAAAGTGGCTGGCACCCGTGGGATGCCCAGGCTGCGTCGTGGAGAGGATGTGGGGATGAACACGCTCTGTCTCACCGCTGATAAATC